TGTTATTTGTAATACCTCAAGAGGTATAAAAGAGCTTGGTTTTAGACCAAGTGAGAATTATCATGTTCATGATATAATTATAATAATAATACAATAATAACCTTGTAATAATATTTTCGCTAATAAAGACACATAACACTTTTACAATAAACCAAACTCTTAATAAAACCATTCCTAAACCTTGCTGGAAAGCATACCTCATCTTAAATTAAGACCATACTAACTAGGGGACGCCTTAGTCAGACAGTGGAATTTTATTTATCATTTTTAGGCTTTGCCAGCAGTACTTCTATTAGTACTGAAGAGAGAGAGATTGCGCAATATAGATAGGCTCTGAGCTGTGTGCCGTAATCAGAGGCTGGAATTTGAGACTCTGAGCTGTGTGCCGTAATTAGAGAAATTGGGATTGAGAACCCTGAGCTGTGTGCCGTAATCAGGGAGATTATATATATTTATTGGACATAACCGAGCTGTAACTGTATTTACACGCTTGCAATATGATAAGTAAAACTTCCTATAAGAATTTTCTTTATTAAAATTGTTTGAATACACTTTCACTTCTCACAATTATTTTTCACTTGGATTTATGAAAAATAACAGTTCATTTATTGATCTTTTGTACCATATTTATATAAAATTACAATTATTAAATAAATAACAATAAAATACATAAATATAGAAACATATGTTTCCTCAGAGCTCTTAGAATAAACTTAGGAAACATAATTAATAAAAATTAATGTTTTCCAGCATCATTTAATATCCACTAAATTAATGAACACTGATTAATTAATCATAGATATTAACATGTGTGAATTTGTATGTTGCATTTTACTAATACTAATATTTTTCTACATTACATGTTTGTCTTGTGATAATAAATAAACAAACAAAACAAAAAAAATTAGTGTACTAAGTATTTTTAACCATTACACATCTCATGATGATACAGTAATGCAGAAGTTTCATTTCTTCATATTTTCATATTGAAGAATTATGAGACCACTAACAATTTTAATAATAAATTTATAATGCATTAGTATTGATTGTAAAAACCTACAAAGTGAACATAAAATTATATATAGGGATAAGTGTATATGAAAAATATTAACAAAGGCAATAAATGCAATGGTTCTAATGAATATCAAAAAGCAATTGATTTTTTAGAAAAAGGTTGTGATTGTGGTTGCTCTTCAAGAATTCCCAAGGAAGGATTTGCAGAATTAAGAGAATCATTTCAAGCTCTTTCTAAGCCAGAATAAGATGTATTTCTAATGGCCCAAATTAAAGCAATGGATGGGGGATCAATAAGTACTAGTAGATGCCTTAAAAAGAAAATTAGATCTAATAAAAAAACTTTCTATCATTGGGATCACAATACACTTCTTTGTCAAGAAACTTATTTTAATATGTTAGGGATTGGTAGAACTTATTTTGAAAATATCAGAAATCATCTGATAAATAATGGTCATTTACCAAAAATTCATGGTAATATCAAAAGAATGCCTCAATGAAAAACTAAAATGGTGATTGATAAAAATGTTGCTGAAGTAGTAAAGAATTTTCTGGAAAATTATGCAGAAGTTTATGGCTTACCAAGTCCAGGCAGAAGTAACAATAGAATAACTCAATCAATTGTATTCTTGGCAGCTGAAATGAGTTACAAATCAGTCCACAGATATTTTCTAGCTGGTCTGGACAAATTGAAATCCTTAAAATATGATGTTTTCAGAAAATTATGACATAAATTGACACCAGAAATTCAAATTATGAGTCCAAGGACTGACTTGTGTGATACTTGTCAACATTTTCGAAATGGTTTACATTACAATGCTCGCCAAGAAGAAGAAGCTAAAGATTTGCTCAAAAGGTTTAAAGAACATCTATCTAAAGCAAGATTAGAAAGGAATTATTACAATAAAAATACTAAATTGGCAGAAGAACAAAGAAAACTAGTTAATCAAAATTACTCCCAAGGTAAAACACAATATTGCAGTGGAATATCTATCTATATGGTGATTTAATGTTTGTTTTTACAAATTGAAATTTAATTTTAGTGGATTAGCAATTGCTGTCATTTGTTTTTATCTCTGAGATAATTATCAACTTATCAACAACCGGTTCATATTCTACTTTTGACAATCTCTCTGAAAATTCCCCCATTTTCTCAATAAGTTCCTGACTTGGTTGCAAGGTACTTTTACAAGATAAGAAAAGAACAAAGCACAAAAGTCATTGATAATATAAAAAAAAGTATTGAAAAAATTGTTGTAAATAATATACCACCAATGGAATAATAAATGACCAAAGAAAAAATTAATTTTTTTTAAAGTTGTAAACAGTAGTTCAAATATTCTACAGACAAATAAACAAAACGGAATGAATGAAAAATAATTTTTTCATATTTTTTACGCAATTTGTTCACTACCTTTTTCATTGCCAAAATCGGCTAATTTATTTTGTAAATTTATAGTTTGCTTCCTCCAATTTTCTTTTCTTTCTTCTAATTTCCTCTTCTCTTCCTTTAAACCCTCCATTCCCCACAACTCCTTATAATTTTTCAAGTTCCCCTCCTCCATAAACTTTTTCAACTCTTCATCGGCCTTTCTTTATTCTTCAAGCACAATGTCTAATTGAATTTTGATTTCGTTAATATTTGCCATTTGTAAAATGTAAAAATTTGGACCAATAATAAACTAATTGGTGGGCACATGACTTGGAATTATATTTTTTTTTACGGACAATGGATTAAAATTTCGGATGCAAAGTGAGCACGTATTACATCAAAAAAAAATTTTTTTTTTAATTTCATTAATAATATTAATTAATAATATTTTTTTGGTGTAAAAGATTTAATCTTCTGTATTCAGTAACAACATCTTTATTCACCTTCAGGTAATCAAAATCAAATGAAAGGATATCCAACTGGTACCAAGAAGGAGCTCTGCTCATCGCCACATAGATCTGACCTGGGGGCAAACATATTTATTTTTCATCAATCGTTAGAGTCGCATGTGGCAATGTCACGCCTCAGGTCTTGTGAGTTGTCAAGACAAATGCACTCTGCAATGGGAATTGGCACCTCGAGGCACGTGTGCCGTTTATTTCAAAATTTATAGTGATTTTTTGAATTTTCATTTTAATAATGTTACAGGAAATAAGTTTCAGTCTTGAAAGCTTGTTGATCATAATGTATTTACAACATTTACAACACTCTAATATCAGTCTTGAGCTTTCAAGTGATCTGAAAGCGAAAGCAAATTTATACCAACCACCATATTTTTAGAGAACATTCTTGAAGATAGTGAGAGAGAATGGGAATGAGGAGCTGATGTCGAAGCTAACATAAAATTAGATTCTAGTATGCATTTCCCAACTTGGAAAGTTAGTATCAGGTATAATAAAAAAAGAAACCATCTAAATCACAAAGAACAAACTGTAATTGGCATTTAAATCTTTCGCGTCCTATCAAAATAATCCGAGTGGTTTTTTTATACCGTGTGAACATTTTGGACATTTCGTTGATCCTTCTGCAAGAAGATTTGAGTCAAAAAAAGCATTTACCAAACCTATGCTAAATGTGCAGGTGCGCAGAAATCAAGGGTCTTTATGATGAGTAAATAGACTGATATTTGAATATTCGCGAAAAATTTGATTTTTGGTTAAATTAAGAACATTAAATCGAAACTTCCATGATCAATCCTCTTCACGTCTTTTGCAAGTGTAATATTCTTGCGTTTAATATTATTGTTGTGTTAGTTGCATAGTTAAATATCCATCCGATGAATTGATTAACGAAACAGCATTAAGAATCCTGAGTACTTATCAAAAAGTGACATCAATGATAGTTGTAGTTGATAATAACATGATAAATATTATATTTATATATATACAAGATTAATTATGTCTAAATAGATTAAAGTCCAAGATTCAAGGAACGTGCGATAGGATTGTACTAGGATAAATAATAGATCTTTTGTTTTTTCAAACTACATAGAAAAAATGACACCATTTTAATAAACTTACCCGACAACAAGAAATCATTCCAAGAGCCTATCCTTTAAATCCCATGAAAACGATAGGATAATAAGAGTCAAATGGTATTAATTAAAGCAGGTTTTTTATTTGATTGTTTGTTTAATATCTGATTATGGTGACACGATTCCCTTATTAGAAGACTTATTTTTGTCCAGAGCCAATAAGAATTAGACACATGTAAGTTATAATCTAAAGAAACATCTAAGAAAAAAAACACACAAATATATAAATACAAGGATTAATCGAACAATTAAATTATTATTTTTCAAATAACATTTTTTAAACTCTTTCGTTTATTTGTTATTAATCAACACATTCACACAATCAATTAATTATGAAGAACAAAAAAATTTTGTTTCTTTTATTAATACTATGTTTATTTACCACATGCCTGCTCTTCGCAACAGCGGAAGAAGAGGCAAACATTGAAGACACTCATCCAGAACCAAAATTGGTTCTTCAAGAAAATAATATTCAAAATAATGAAAATATAGAATTAAATAAAGAAAAATTTGAATTTCAAGTAAATTTTCTTCATTTACTGTGTTTTTTTTTAGATAAAAAATGAAATTTCCGAATATTAAACATCCGATTAATTGATGTAATTAAAGATTAATGATAATAATTTTGGTTTTTTTTTTTTAGACCGAGGTCAGTCGCTTAATGAAACTTATCATTAATTCATTGTACAAAACACGTGAAATCTTTCTAAGGGAACTTATCTCAAACGGTAAAAAAAAACTTAAATAAAAAATTTAATAACTATTTTTTTATATCTTTTCATAATTATTCTTCTTCCCTTTGCTAATCGATATTCTCTTTTCCAATAGCCTCTGACGCAATTGATAAAATAAGATTTTTAGCATTAACACAACCTGACGCACTAAGCGCAAACCCAACCCTAAACATTTCAATATGGGCTGACAAAGAAAACAAAATATTAACAATAGCTGACAGTGGTATTGGTATGACCAAGAAGCAATTGATTGAGAATCTTGGCACAATAGCAAGATCTGGTACATCGGAATTTTTAGATGCGTTGGAAGATAAAAAAGCTGATGTGAGTTTGATCGGTCAATTTGGTGTAGGATTTTATTCGGTTTTCCTGGTGGCAGATAGAGTTACAGTCATCACGAAAAACAATGATGACAAGCAATACATTTGGGAATCAAACGCAATCAGCGATTTCACTATTGCCGAAGATCCAAATGGTAACACACTAGGTCGTGGTACACAGATCAGATTACATCTAAAAGATGATGCTCTTGAATTTCTTGAAGATGGTGTTTTGAGAGGTGTTATACTCAGGTATTCCGAGTTTATCAACTTTCCTATTTGGTTATGGACAACGAAAACTGAAACTGTTGAAGTGGATGATAATTCTGATGATGATGATGGCGATGATGACAACAAAAATGAAGAGCCTGATATTGATTCTGATGAAGAGCCAAAGAAAGATAAACCAAAGAAGAAAACAAAAATTGAAACTGTTGAAATACCCGGGTGGGAATTAATGAATACTCAAAAACCTATATGGACAAGAGATCCAAAAAATGTTACTGAAATTGAATATGAAAACTTTTATTCTTCATTTGCCAAAGACCCCAGCCCTCCATTAGCTTGGAATCATTTCAAGGTATTTTCTCTCTTTAATATAGTAATAATAATAATAATAACAAAAACAGCAACAATCAATAATAATGATGACGATGATGTGCAATATTATTATTTTCTCTAGTCTAACCTAATCTAATCTGATCTAATTATATATGTTTAATGTAGGCGGAAGGTGAAATAGAATTTCGAGCTATTATATATATTCCAAGCAAAGCACCAAGTGACTTATTTCAAAAAGTTCAAGATTTTACACGTAATGTGAAATTGTTTGTTAAAAGAGTTTTTATCACCGACGAATTTCTTGATTTTGTACCAAAATATCTTCAATTTATTAGAGCAATTATTGATGCTGAGGACTTACCATTGAATGTGTCACGTGAAACATTACAACAACACAGGGCTTTGAGATTGATTAAGAAACGTATCGTTAAAAAAACGTTTGAACTATTGGCTAGTTTGTCTAAAGATGATGAGAAATATAAGGCTTTGCTGAAAGAATTTGGCATCAGTCTCAAAGTTGGTGCAATAGAAGATAATGACAATAGGAAGAAGATTGCACAGTTATTGAAATTCCCAAGCTCATACAACGACCAGAATTGGACAACATTAGACGCCTATATTGGTAGAATGAAGAAAGGCCAAGATAAAATGTACTTTATCACCGGCTCATCAATTGAAGAGGCCAGTCAATCACCTTTTGTCGAAGGTCTTGTTGCCAGAGGTTATGAAGTTCTTTATATGGTTGAACCTATTGATGAGATGTTGGTACAACATATGCCAGGTCATGGTGGTAAAGTATTCCTAAATATTGCAAAAGGAGATTTTGACTTTGGTAATAGTGAGGATAAAGAAGAAGCGTCAAATCTTCGTACTAAATTTTCTAAATTAACTAGTTGGATGTTATCAGTTTTAAGTCAATCTGTTGAAAAGGGTATTAAAAAATTTTATATATTCTTAATAAAGAATATATTTGATTAATAATTACAATTATAATAATAATTATTATTATTATTGTAGTCGAGGTTTCAAAGCGTCTTACCACTTCGCCTTGTGCAGTTGTAGCATCTGAATGGGGATGGACTGGTCATATGGAACAAATAATGAAGGGTGATTAATTAATTAATATCCTGTTTGTTTAATTTATTTTTAATTATTATTAATCTTACAAATATATATTTGTTTATTAGCTCAAGCAATAAAACAAGATCAAAATCCATTATTAAAAGATTTTTATGAAAAACAAAAGAGAATCTTGGAGATTAATCCAAATCATCCTTTGATTTTAGGATTATTAGATCAAGTGGAAAATGATTCTGTTAATGATAATACAAAAGAAATGGTAAATTTATTATATGAAACAACTTTAATAAGATCTGGTTACTCTATAAGAGACAATTTAAAGTACGTATTATTATTTTTTTTTGTATGTTCCGGGGTAGGAGGAGAGTGAAAAAAATTTTTTTAAAACATTATTTAACTTTTTTTTTCCTAAAATTAAAATTCTTTTTTAACTGTAAAAAAAAAAAAAATACATTATTTTAGATATGCATCTATGGTAGAAAAGATGTTAAGAACAAATTTAGGCATTGATCTTAATTCAAAACCTGAAATCAATATTGAACCAGCACAAGATAAAGATGAAGATGAAGAAGTTGAATCATCAAAAAAAGATGAAGATTTATTCAAGGAGCTTGAAGACGACTATATTAATGATAATGAAAAAACTACCCATGAGGAACTTTAAATTGTGTAAAATTAATTAAATCAATCAATCAATTAAATATATTATTTTTTAATTAGATGCAGGGAGTATTTATTTATTCTTAATACATTATGACGACAATAATAATAATTAATAATAATAAATTTTACAAAAAATAATAATAAAATAAATATACAGTAAACAAACATTTATATGAAAAAATATGAAATACAATTACAAAACAAATACTGCTTGCTACCTCCACATCATCATCAACTTCTAATTTCCACAATTGCAACTTTCATATTTTTCTGTGGAAGCTTTTAATATCTTCAAGTAATAATAGATTGTCCAAGAAACACGACTTTGCATTGTCTACAGCATGTGCCATCTTCTTCACGGACAATTAGCAAGCTTTCTATCTTCTTCTTTAAACCTGACAATTGGAAGAAATTTTTCTTGCTGATTTTCATCTTTACCATTATAGTAATTTTCTTTTTTCTAACCTTTATCAATCTTTAATGAGCATAACTTGTGCATTCCGATCCCTTTGACGCCGTACAACTTTTTTTAAGTTCATCTAATTGATCGCTAATTCTTGATTAGACAGATATTTGTATATACCTTATTATTTAAATTTCAACAGAAGTTTGTTACGATGTACTTTGTAGATCACCTAAAAGTGCTGCTAAATCTTAAACGAAACATCCAATGATGCTGACTTTTAAATTAATTGATACGAGATGTTAATAAATAAATATTTGGGCAATGATTATTTTCAAATCTTATAGTAGATCCATGCTTTGCCACGAAATGAAGAAGTTAGTTACTCGTGATAAAAGAATCATCAGCAATGTAAAAAAACATCAATCTCTGTTTGCATGAAAGTTACTTCTGGTGATGAAAGTTTACACTAACCCTTTGCCGCAAATAAAGTATAAAGTTATAAATACAATTTTTTTTCTCACCAAAAGTAAAAACTTCAACTTCAAGTAAAGAAATTGCAATGGTAATGGCTCGGAAGAGACCAAGTCACCTGTTGTATGACCTATTTCACATTACAACATATTTTACTAGTCCTAAATTTTATTTATGAATTTAATTAAAAATTAGCATCAAAAAAAAAAAAGTATACCCTGTGGTGAGTGATGATGGAATGGTTGGGAAGAAAGCCAATACTCTTTCTTAATCATGATGAGGGCAGAAAGGAACCCCATAGACAAAATATAAAAATAAAAATACATTACTGAAATTGTTTGGATCCAACTATTGTACTTTGAACAAAAATCAATTAACGACCCAATTCAATAGCTGAATTTTATTTATAATTGCACATACAGTATGTTATAAGACATTATATGCATGCACACAAGCATAAAAGATGCGAATGCACTAGGTTTGAATGAGCTTGATACCACGTTGCTTCACGCAGACAGTGTAAATACACATCTCGTGTTTTTGTTCCAATATATAAAGAAGTGAATCTTGATAACAGATAACTAAAAAGCAACCTTGCTATTCTTCCATTTCCATTTATTAAAAGGATGAATCAGCAAGAAACAGGTGAGAGGACATGCCCGAATTTAACAGCTTTCTTCAATTACAAGTTTTCATTTCCAAATTTCTCTCTACATTGACGGAATAGCTCATTCATTTTCCTTTCTATCAAATCTGGTGACATATATACAAAGTCTTCTTGTGACAACGGCTTAACAAATTGCGTTCTATACTGACCTGTATTTTTAATCAAACCATTACCAAATTGTTGGTGCAAATATTGTGCGAATGAAGGTATAAAACATTCTATTGGGAGTTTGGGAAAGAACATAGATGGAAAAAAGTTGGTGCACTTTTTTATTAATACTGTACTGTAATTAGCATTAGACTATCCAAAAAAGTCAAGGATCATTGTTATCCACAATTCAAGAGAAAATATTGAGCATGGCTTCTAAGCCAAAAACGTTCCACCTGAAGGGTTACATATAAAGGTGATATTAACCCGAAATCATGATTTTGACGTTGTCCTCATTTCTGTTGAAAAGGCTCTTCCCATATATGACAATTATGATGATAATTTCAATAGGTAGTAAATCAATTTAGTTGTATCTCACTTTTACTCTCCACTTAGCCCATAATGTGAATGTGGCTTTATTTCACCTACTGAACAAGATTTACAAAAGTGGGATGTTTTGTCATTTTAAATAAAAGATTTTGGCTATTAATTAATTTTCCTATTACTATATATGATTATTGGCTCCGCATTTTACTATTAAAAATGTACTATTTACGTTTATCACGAATTGCGAGTTAATTTGTATCTCTATTATATGAGGCCGCCATGAAATAGATAGATTTCAAAAAGAGAAAAATAAATACGAAGTGGGTTTAACAATTAACTGCATCTTGACCGACCCGGATATTATTACCTAGGGAGTTATTTAAACTGTTGATATTAAATTAGGAAAAGGCTTTGAAGGAATTTTGCTTGATTAGACAAAATTTTTTAGATTATTTGTTGTTTTGTTTTAGTCACGAGTTAAATAGAGCATATCATGTAACAAAATATTTTTATAATAAAAATTTATTAGGCAAGATTTTTCTGAGTGGATATAGTACTTTTGAAATTAATAATAATGACAAACCCTATATTTGTGACTTGTGGCAAACGATGTCACGAGTTATTTATTCTACAGATTTTTCAAATATCATGCATTGAAAATTCTAATACTAATGCTAAGAAGTAAGTCGTAGAGATACTTTCGAATTACTTCATTTTTACCAACGGTTATAAATTTTATTATCTGTGAGATTATTTAAAGCAATAATTTGTGATTTAAATTCCAATAAATAATATAAAAATGGTGAAATTAATTAATTATCCATCAATAATTTTCCAACTTTTTAAAATGTTAACCTTATCAACCCTCCTTTCAACTACTTATCCTTTATTATTATAATTAATAAATAAATTAATTAACTACTTAATTGTCTTATTAAAATTATATTCATAATTTAATAAGCTATCAATCATTACTTAAATTTAATTTAGCAATTTCATCATTTAATATTCTACTTGTATGGTATGCTAATGGATGTGATTTATAAACTTGTTGTGAATTGCTATTATCGTTACTATTATTATTATTATTACTATTATTATTACTACTACTACTACTACCACTATTATTACCACCGCCACCACCAATACCACTATTATTTTCATAAACTTCTTTTAATTTATTATCGGCAAATCTAAAAAGCTCTCTACTAGTTGGTCTCTTGGCTGGATCCACATCCCAACACCTTTGCATCATTTGTGCATAATCATCAGGTATCCCTGGTAATAATGGTGGTCGTAAACCTTCACATATATCTACCATTAAGCAATGATTAGGAGCTCTATTATCAAATGGTGGATGGCCTGCAAATATTTCCCACATTAACATTTCAACACTATAAATATCTTATTCTTTTGTGTTCTTATTTCCTCTAAATAGCTCAGGTGCAATATATGATATAATTCCATAAATTTCCCTCTGGTACATGCTTTAGAACCATTGCATAATTTTCATTTTCTGGGAATTTAGTTATACCATAACAAGTAACAATTAAACCTGTTTTAATTTTACAATAACTCAATGCCTGTAATTAATAATTACCTCGTCAAAAAAAGATTACTTAAAAAAAGTCTGTTTTTGACCAGGTGCATATTAAAAATCTTACGCGCACAAAATCTAATTTCTGAATAAATATTATTCCCAATTAATATTGACGATTTCTTTTAAATTCTAATTATATTATTCAAAACCTTAACTGTTATGTTTGTTATCTTTCAATAAACTATAATATTAAAGCGAATATATGATAATTATGATGATGATTATAATCTATCAAGTTACAATGCTTCATTGTCTTTTTGACGTTTGTATTCTGCATGAAGATCCATTTTTAATGATTATATTGCAAGAAATAATTTCACATAAGGTTTGGTAGAAATTTCATTGTTTCTTTTGCCATCAAACCAGTTTGAGCAAAACGCGACATATGATTAAAATAATAATCTTGAATTTTAAACAATACTAAGTATACTGTATTTATTTTAAACAATTACTCTTTAAAAAAGTCATTGCTATATATAAATTTGTTTTTTTTTAGCAATAACATTCTTAATAATAGTGAACGATCTGGACTTTATGAAGAACTCGGAATTTTAAAAAAATGCTGTGAGGAGGATGTCATAAATGAAGCTGAATTCATTAATATGCAATGTGGTGCGGAAAAAAAGAAGTTCCATACTGATTTACTACTGTCATCTTCACACGCACTAGTGAAAACAATTAATTTCTCTCTTTCCAAAAGCATATTTCTTTCCATGTATTTCTCAATAATTAAAATATAATATAAAGTGTATGTTCCAGCCTTTATCAAAAATTCTAATTTGAATAAATTTGATCTGAAAACAAATGTGACAAAACACATAATATGCGCTGATTTTGTTTGAATCCCAAAATTCAGTACGGTATGATCATAACATTATGAATACTTATACTAGCAAAACTCATTGGCTTTGAGGTAAGACCATTGGTTTGACGGGCTGTTAAATAGCAAAATGGTTTTTTTAGCGGAGCAAATAAATTTTTTTAGGGTTAATTATCATTCTACACACATTAAAAATACTTATGTTTATTTAACATTGATCACACAATAAGGTTTGAAAAATCTGTGTAACAAACAAAATTTAATAAACAAGATTACAAATTTTCCGGGCTGAATGAAATTAGTATTAGTATGATTGGCTGTTGGCTTCTTTATGTAAATCTACAACACAATTTTAAATCATTATCTTATCATCTTTAAATATGCTTTTATCTAGGTTATCTGAATAAATTCAATGCATTGGAACACTAGGCAAATGCCATAACCTTGAAACCTTATAGTTTAAAGTCGTATTATCAACATCAAGATTTTTTTGGGGAGGAACAATTTAATAATAACAAGACTGTGTCAATGTGATTGGAAAAACTTGTTATAGCTTCAAACTTGATTGAGATTAAGAAGATTGTTGATTTTCAAAAAAACTTTTACCAATGAATTTTTTATAATGAGACATGTGAATCATTAACAAAACGTTCATTTTTAGTCATTGGTCGAAATATTTTGGAAATTTTTTTTATATATGTTGGACGAATGTAATGTAATCTAGAAGAAGTGCAAGAGTTTATCACGAAGAAACGAATAGATATTCAAAGATTTTGTATAAAGTCAACGAAAATATTTAAATATCACAAATATTATTTGTTTGTTTTAGGCCTGAATCAGGAAAGCATTTTGTTGATCAAAAACAAAAAAGCTGGTATATATATGTTTATGTATTACATGAATGACGCATAATAATAAATTTCTTCTTTATTTTTTAAAGAATAATTAAGTGAATTAAAATTTCATTTATAAATGTTACCAAAGTTGTTTGAGTCGACAAGATCTTATCAACATTTATCAAATGATTATTTAAATTTGTTAGATCAAGATGAAACGTTTGATGTGCTATTAAACGTAGGAGATGAGAACAACTTTGAAACATTTAAAGCTCATTCAATTATTTTAAAAACTAGATCAGAATATTTTAAAGCAGCATTATCGAATTCCTGGGGAAAAGATGGATTTTATAATATTGATTTACGTGGATTAAACATACAATATAAATTATTTGAAAATGTACTTTATTATATTTATGGTGGGATGATAATAAATTTAGACAGATTAAATATAAAAGAAAAATTACAATTATTAAAAACAGCAGATGTTTTAGTGATGGATTCATTCGTTGATTATTTAGAACAGAATTTGATCAAAGAAGAAAGCAATTGGTATAAAGATCAAGCAAGTGAGGTATTATTTGTAACTTTACAAATCACAAAATGCAAAAAATTATTAAAATTATCTAGTAATGCCATATTAAGAAATCCTAAAATTTTTTTTGGCTCTAAAGAATTTTTATTTATACCTAGAAATTATTTAGCAAAAATATTAGATAGAGACATATTAGGATTAGAAGAAATGGATATATTTATAGGTGTTGTTATGTGGGGAATGAATAATACACCTAGTATATCACATGATTTTATATCATGGTCATCAGAAGATATTGCATCTTTAAAATCAACAATAATACAATTTTTGAATAAAGTTAGATTCTTCCATATGCAACCTGAAGATTTTATTAATAAAGTTGGTCCTTTGATTAAAATCTTTTCGCCCGAATTGTATGAACAAGTAATTCAATACCATTCAGAGAAATCAACACCTAATTATTATAATATATTGCCACTAAGATTAAATTCTCTAATAATTAGAGAAAAAGAAGAAACAGCATTAATCTCTTATTGGGTAAAAAACTCTTATGATAAAAAAGAAAGAGAAGAGGAAGATCCTAACAATAATACTACTACTCATAACAATAATGATGATGATAATGATAATGATAATGATGATAATGATGATAATAATAATAGTATAGACTTAATTAAAACATATGAAAAATATTCAGTGATACCATTTAATTTTCATTTAATATTTAGATGTAGTGGAGATGAACTAAAAAAAGATGATGATAATAATAAATGGAGACAATGTTGTTATAATCAGGGACCGACATTAACTGTAATTAGAACAAAAAATAACAATGAAGATGAGGCAGTGTTTGGTGGATTTAAGTCAGTTAGTTGGTCAAACAATGATATAACTGGTGGAGGAAAAGGTTTTATATTTGGTTATTTGTGGAAAGATGATAAATTATTGTTACCTTGGATGATGCCCGTGAAAAATCATTTTCATGGTGATAAAATTTTAGGTGATGGACAATTATTATTCATTGATTTTACAAATGGTAATAAGTTAATAGCACATGCAAACATTTGGAGTTTGGAAGGAACGATTGAAGAATTAGAAGTATTTATAGTTTTACATAAAGATACTAACTGAAAATAAAAAATTTCTTTTGTAAATTTATTCTTTTTTTCTATAAAAAAAAAACCCCCCATTCTATATCATCTATTATAAATTAAATATATATTTATTATATATATATATATATATATATATAGTAATTTCATATTTGGAAAAAAAATTATATTTTTTAGTGACAAAGTCTCTGAATTATTTTCTCGTGATTTTGGTTCTTCATTATCATCATCTCCGGTTACAAATGAGACAAATTTACTCCAAGCTACATTGCAAACAGAATCCAGAGCTTCCCTGCATTTGTTTTTTCAGTCAGTATTGACTTTTTCTCTGCCAATAACAATGATATCATTAATCAAATTATCCACCTATTTTGAATATTTAAAATTTATGGATTTGTTTGAAAAAATTTGGTTTGCTTCTAATTTCTTTTATTATTACAACTGGATAAATATTTCAAGGTAGAATTTTCCTTCCACTCGCCAATTCCAAGCATTCACCATTATTCCAACATGGTGCCGATACTAACCGCTTGTTTCTTGTCGTCCTTAAATTTATTCTGAATATAACTATCTAAGCTGGGAAAAGTATATCTTCCTACACCTTGAGATTAGTCTTTGTAGAGACTGGAATCAATTAGATAGTCAAGCCGAAGGCATTTGTGTGATTTTCTTCGGTTTGATGGGGTGCTTTGCCATCCCAAGGATCAAATAAAATAAAAAATTGGAAACAGTTTTCAAAAATTCTAAAAAAAAATTCAGTTAACAGTTATAAAAGACATATTTACAAAATATACTTGTTCATTTAAAAGGACCTTTGGATTAACGGGGTTCGTATTTCACCAGCTTATTTGTGACGACTAATAGGATTTTTTTTTGACTGGTTCCAGCACTAGATCTTTGTGATTCAGTTCTCTTACTATTACAAACACATTAATATGTGTTTATGGACTGGATTAAACGAATAATCATAACTAACATCGCAGGTTCGTTTTATTTTAAAGATGGTAAATCTTTTAAAAGCTTATCATATAATTATGCTGGATTAACAATGTTCTTTCTTAATATTAAATTGTTAATATGAAACTAATTTATATAAGATACATCATGGAATCTAAAATTACAGTGCCAGTAATTTTGAAAAAAGAACAAGGTGAAAAAATTGCACCTTATGTTTTAATTCACTGACACTCAGATTATCTAACGAAAGAAAAAACAACTTATGAGTATTCACCGATTTGTGAAAGATGAACTTAAAGATATCACTAACTTAAGATTCTTGACGTTTGTGACCAGTCTTTAATATCTTTAATGATCTTTTTTTTAGCTTTCAATGGATTGAACTCATGGAAAGATCCATTAGCAACATCTTGGACTTTTAAAGACTAGGACTAGAAGCTTTAAAAAGAAAACGTCGAAATAAATTTTAGTAATATCAAAATATTGAAGCCTTTTCCGGCATCATATTGAGCCTTGTTCAAATCTAACAAAAGAAATTTTTGTCGACAGTAATGTTAATGTATTCATTGATCGCAATGTTTAGAGAAGATTAAAAGGCTCAGTTTATATGTGAAAATAATAATAGCAATTTGTATTTATGGGCATACTGTAACAAAACCAGATAAAATCAAAACTTTAGTAAATAATACAACACAAGATGTCTGTGACCTTAAAAAAGAATAATGATAATAAATGAATAATATAGTATTAAACTAAAGAGATAAAATTATGATAATGGAAGTTTGCTTTTATATAGACAATTAAATAATGTAAAGCGCTAACTATATACTGATACTGTATTTAACCACACTTTCCCCAAGGCATATAGCGAATTGGCAATATGTTTGTTGTCTTCACTGTCACTAGTCAAAATTTTATCACAGCTCTCAGCTACAATTGAGGATATTTCTGATCGTGAAAGCCGCCAAAATATTCGATAGATCTAGGATTTTTTAATCAAATTATTTGTAATTAGGTTTTGTTTTATCTTTGGTTTTATTAAATAAGCCCTTACCTCTTCTATGCCCATGTTTGAAGCTCCGCCTTTACTTTGAATTTCTATAAAACTAGAAATCACGCCTTTCGTAAAATCAAGTTTTTTAGTTTTATTTGCTACAAAACCAGAAACCACGCATCCAAAGCCTAAAATAGGAATCACGCCTGTTGTAAGTTCAAGGCCAGAAATCAAGCTTATCGCCATAAATGCAAGAATACTTAATATAGGACCTGTACTTGAATAGCCTGACCTGTGTAGATAGGCATTGGCCTTAGTTGTGTAGATATTGCCTAAACAAGATAATAGCACTTTGCCATTAGGTTCTGCGATAAGTATTTGGGATTCTTGATACAACATTTTTACAAATGAATCAAGCTCTGATTCATTTTTTGGAAATTGAGAAAGTTTGTTTTGTAGATAATTAGTAATGCTGGATAGACGAATATTGTGACGACGAGCTTTTTGCTCAGCTGAATTTAGGTTTTCTAGTTCAGGTGAGTTCTTATTATCCATAAATGAGTACAGCCAGAGACCAAGTTCCACTTCACCGATATAGGGTTGCCAAGGTTCTCCTCCTAAACAGTGATTTAATGACGCCTTACCACCTAAGGCTAAAATTAATTAAAATTAAATAAGTCAAGGAAGCGATACTAAAACCCAAATGCAGTGAGTTTAATGCATACAATTATTTATCGTTCCGTAGTTATCATAAAGAAAGCGTCTATCACTATCCGAGAGGATTTCATATGCCTTTGAAAACTTATCCCACTGCATTAAAAATACCAAATCAATGAAATATGCAAATCGGTGTTAAAAAAAACAAATTTGATGCAGTACCTCTTCAGTCCTAATACCGCCATTCTTGTCGGGGTGGTACTTCAGAGCATGTTTCTTGTAGCTTGATTTAATTTCGGCCTCAGTTGCATCATATTTTAGCTGAAGGACAGCATATAAGTCTGTTGCCTTTGGTTCGTTAATAACTATCACATTTAAACAATTAGTAAAATAAACAAATGTATAGGTTTTTTATAACAAAGCAGACACTTTTTTTCTTATTTACCATGCGAATGTTCAGTTTTTTTGGTTTCTTTTGATTTGGTCCATTTTCTTATTAGCAATCTTTTTTGCTTGTTAAATTCGTTGTCATCGATTTCACCATCATCCTTTTGACGTTTGCATTCTTTTAATTCTGCATAAAGATCCATTTTTTTAATGAAGTTTTTTTTCTTCGATTATTAATGATCATTATATATTAATATACATAATAATAAGGTTTAGTTAAATTACATTGATTTCTAATTTGGGGGGTTTGTCATCAAACCGGTTTGAGAAAAATACGACATATGAATTAATAATAATAATCCAACTTTTAGACATTTGCTAAAAATTTCTTTTTGTCTATAACATTCATAATGAACGATCTTTATGAAGAACTCAAAATTTTAAAAAATTGCCGTAGGGAAAATCTCATAAGCGAAGATGAATTATCTGAGATGCGTTCTCTAATAATGAATAAATGTAAAGAAGGTAAGCTTTTAATCGACATCTTTAAGAAACTATTTCAAGGTTCCTGATGGTTTGTTTTGCATATAAAAATAAAATTATTATTTGACGTTTTTATAGCTCTTAAAACTGCAGAAAAACTAGAATCATTTTGGCGAAAAATGTATAATATGGCAGCTTCACTTGGCAATCGCTTCATACAAGGCATAATTCTTCCACTAATTAATAAAGTGAAATCAATCACTTATGGTAATAGTGGTAGTAATAATAGTGGTAGTAATAATA